AGTGTAGAGACAAGTCTCAGAGCCAGGAATTCTTTGCCAAGGCCAATGCAGAGAAGACTATTCCTAGGTTGTCTTCCTAGGATTTTTTGTAGTTTGAAGTCTTAGTTAAAGCTATAATCCATTTTGAGTTAATTTTCCTTTTCATGTGGTGATAGTTAGGAGTCAAGTTCCCGTCTTCTGCATATGGCTAGCAAGTTATCCCAGCACCATTTATTGACTAGGTTGTCCTTTCCCCATTGCTGTTTATTTTTTTCAGGGTTGTCAAAAACAGATGGTTGTACATGTGCAGCTTTATTTCTGAGTTTTCTGTTCTATTTCATGGGTCTATGTGTTTATTCTTGTACCAGTACCAAACAGTTTTTGTTAGTGTGGCTTTATAGAAGAGTTTAAAGTGAAATAGTGTGATGTCTCTGGCATTGCTCTTTTGGCTTAGGATTACTTTGGCTGTTTTGGCTGTTTTTTTGGTTACATACAAAATTTAGAATACTTTTCTTATATTTCTCTGAAGAATAAAACTGGTATATCGATAGTAATAATATTGAATCTGTAAAATTTGAAGGGCAATATTGTAATTTTTGTAACATTATTTCTTCCAATCCATGAGCATGGAATGTTTTTTCCATTTATTTGTTTCCTCTCTGATTTCTTTCCACAGTGTTTTTTAGTTCCTGTAGAGATATTTCACCTCCCTTGTTAGTTGTATTACTAGGTATTTTTTTTTTTGGTAGATACTGTAAGTGGGATTGGATCCTTTATTTTGCTCTCAGCCTGGATGTCATTGGTGTATAAAAAAGCTACTGATTTTTGTATATTTATTCTGTATCCTGAAACATTACTAAAGTTTTTTTTTTAATCAATTCTAGGATTCATTTGGCAGAGTCTATAGAATTTTCTATGCACAGAATCCTATCAATAGCAAAAAGAGGTAGACTTATGTGAACGTCTTTTATTTCTTTTCCTTGTTTAATTTCTCTTGCTAGAACATCCAGTACGTGTTGAATAGGAGTGGCGAGAGTGGGTATACTTGTTTTGTTCCAGTTATGAAGGGAAATGATTTGAGCTTTTGTTGATTCAGTATGATGTTAGCTGTGGGTTTGTCACACATGGCTCTTATCACTTTAAGGTAAGTTTCTTTGATGTCTAGTCTGTTGAGGGTTTTTATCAGGAAGAATGTTGAATCTTATCGAAAGTTTCTCTGGGTCGATTGAGATAATCATATGGTTTTTGCTTTTGATTCTGCTTATGTGGTGAATCACCTTTATTGATTTGTGTATGTTGAACTAGCCTTTCATGAAAGGAGTAAAATCTACTTGATCATATTGTAATAACTTTTTAACGTGCTGCTGTATTCAATTTCCTAGTATTTTCTTGAAGATTTTTAGGTCTGTCATCAGGAATATTGGTTTAAAATTGTCCTCTATTGTGTGTCTCTGCCAGATTTTGTGTTCCAAGAACAATGAGGAAAAGATAGATTTTTAACAAATGGTGTAACACCTGGGCATTCACATGCAGAAAAAATGAGATCATATCTCACATCATATACAAAAATCACCTAAAATGTGTTCAAGGCTTGAATATAATATGAAATCTAAAATTGTAAACTCATAGAAGAAAATGGAGAAAAAAGAAGCTTCCTGGAATTAATCTGGAAAATGATTTATTTGGATTTGACACCAAAATCACAGAAAAATAAATTATGTGCAACTCAATATCTGACAACAGGTTCTATCTAAATGTTTAAAGAACTCATACAATAGCACAAAACACAAATAACCTGATTTTTAAGAGGGCAAAAATTGTGCATAGAATTGTATTCAAGGGAGGACATAAACACGGCCAGCAGGACACAGAAAGATGCTCCACATTGCTTATCATCAGGGGAGTTCAAATGAAAACCACAATGAGATATCACCTCGCATTAGTTAACATGATTAATATCACAAAAACAAAAGATAACAAAATGCTGACAGTAAACTGGTGAAGAGGGAATTATTCAGTGGTGTGGTAGTAAAGGTTCTTTTATGAATTGAAAGTAAAACTATTATGTGATCTGGTGATCCCACTTCTGACTATGTATTCAAAGGAAAGAAAATCAGTAAGTAAAAAAAGGTTTAATACAAGATTATTCATAATAGCCTAGAATTTTTTTAAGGTTAATGAGCATAGGTAAATGGGTGTATAAAGGAAATGTATACACATACAATGGAATATTACATGACCTCTAAAAATAAGGAAATTATAACATTTCCAACAACATGGATGGGCCTGGAGAGCATTATGCTACGTGGAATAAGCCAGACACAGAAAGACCAATGCTGCATTATCTCATTTACATGTGGAATCTAAAATATTCAAATTCTTAGAAGCAGAGGGTAGGAAAGTGGTTCCCAGGGCTGGGAGGAGGGGAAGCAGAGTGATGCTTGTCAAGGGCATAAAGTTTTAGTTGTGCAGGTTGAATGGGTTATGGAGTTCTAATGTAAAGCGATGGGACTATAGTTATCAACACTGTATTGCAAACTTGATCTCTGGTAAAGGGACAGATCTCAGGTGTTCTCATCAGACACACACATAATAAATTAAAGGAAGAAAATGGTAACCGTGAGGTAATAGATATGCTGTCTCCTTGGTCATAGTGAAAATTTCACAATTTATATCAAAACATCAAGTGGTGCACCTTAAATATATACAATTTTTGTTGTCAGTTATGGTTCCATAAAGCTGAACAAATTAACCTTACTTTTATGATGAAGGAATGCATATTTCCACATCTTTTCTCAATAAAAATTAGAAACTATAGATAGATAAACAAAAAATATTTATAGCAGCTTTGCTTATGATGTTACTATACCGGAAACAAACTCAAAGTGCATCGACAGGAAAATGAATCAGTTTACTGTCATTTACTGCTAAATGGACTGACTCAAGTATAAAATCTCTCTCTCTCTCTCTCTTTCTCCATATATGTCAAAACTTTGAGATTTTATATCAGAGGCAGCCCATTAAGTGAATAAATAACAATATGCTGATGTAATTTTACACATGAAATAGCATAAATAAACATCAAAAATAACAAAATTAACTCCTTACCAGAAAAAGGGGTCTATAATGTTTGAGTCCATTTATATGAAAATCAAAACATGAACAATGAATCTACAGTGGCAGAAATCAAAACGTTGTGTTAAATGTGGGAACTGACTGGAAGCACAGAGAAGGTCATTTGTGCTGGGGGATGGGCCTCCTCTTCATCCGACCTTGGCTGTTGGAGACAAGTGTGTTTACATTTGCCAGAAATCCTGTAATGGTACATCGTAGATCTATCCATTATTACTTATATTGAAATTACATCTCATAAAAATAAAAAATTAAAAAATAGTGTACAAGAAATAGTTTAAAATTCAGTAAATAATGCAACTAAAAATAAAATCAAACTCAAAATGTGAACAATATAATATGAATTAATGAAAATATTTAACAAACCTGCTAGAATTAAATCCCAGAAATCAGAAAGATAAGGGTGACATCTGATAATAATAAGTTAATAAGCATGCATTTCATAGAGAAAACAAAATGGTCAAAAATATGTGGAACATGTATTTTGTTATTATCAAAAGTTATTAAATAATTGATACAATATTTTAATCTATCTTACTAGTATTAACTACATATATCATGGGTAAAATCATAACTGGCAACAACCTTTAAGGAAATAAGGATATTTAGGAGCACATGTACTAAGTTAAATATATTCTCAATGTTTTTCCAGCTTTTACTGTTGAAATTTCTAATTGTATCCTGGATCTCTAACAGAATCTGAATGGGCCCTTGGACAAACTAATTTTCAGAAACAACTTAGAAAATCTATGTCTAATATGGGGATATTAGTATCTCATCTCATAAAGAAATTGAAACTGTGTGATACATGTAAAGCCCTCAGAAGAAACCTTAGTACGTGGGAAATAACTTATTCTTAGTAGGTTGTGATGTTTATTGTTAAAATTATTACCTTGATTTTTGGGGGAAAATTAAAACAAACTGTGACGAATTGAAGTGTGATGTTTCTTGTTTGGTACAATAGCGAGGTGAGGATAATGAAGAGCCCTGCGATCCTGAGGAGATGCCCTAATCCAAGGAGAGGGAGGTTCCAGGTCGTGTGGACTCACACAGGGCGCCTGCTTCTGGCCTTCATGAAGCCCGTCTCAGAAGTCTGAAGGAGGCAGGCGTGTGGATGGGTTTCTCAGGACAATCCAAACAGACCTGGACAGGGGAAAAAAGATTATGACCTAGGATGGATTAAATAATTGTCTTGAAAATTGATAAATTACGGTTGTATATATTTATGAGGTAAAAAGCAATGTTGTGATTTATTAATACAATATGGAATAATTAAATAACGCTAATAAGCATATTCATTACCTCAAAATCTTTTCATTTTTTGTGTCAAGATCATTTGAAATTTACCTTAGCTATTTTGAAATGACTAATATACTATGTTTAAGTAAAGAAAGATGTATTAATTAATATAAACAATATAAAAATATTGAAATCAATTATGGATTACTCCAATAATTTATATTTAGTTCATCAATAAGTTTGACTATTTAGGACATATTTTAAAAATCATTTTATTATAATGTTAAATATACATGACTACACATTTATGCACAGGTTTGTGGTATTTAGACCTATGTCTACAGAAGTAAATGTATGTCCTCATAGCTATGTAGTTGCTGACAGCAACATATGTTAGTAAAACTGTGGAAGAATAACTACAAATAAGTAGGAATAATTATTCCTTGAAAGTATATATTTTTAAAAAATAACACTACATAAAGTGTTTAAAATTATAAAAACCTAAATACCGATGATAATAAATACATACTAAAAAGCAGTATAAACATATAACAACCTATAAGACTCCAGAGTTCTGAAAACACAAACCTGCCTCCGGCAGCTGAGAAAGGAAACCTCCCCCTGCACCTGCTCCTGGGACCTGCGCGTCCTCAGTGGGTCCCGAGCGCCCCCTGGTGGCCCCGCGCGCCCCTGCAGGAGGGTTTGTGTCTGGGCTGACACTGACCTCGCCTCACTGTGTATGTAGTACAGTAATACACGGCCGTGTCCTCGGTTTTCAGGCTGCTCATTTGCAGATACAGGGTGTTCTTTGAATCATCTCTGGAGATGGTGAATCTGCCTTTCACCGATGCAGCGTATTGTGTCGCGTAATTGTTAGATTTGCTTCTAATATACCCAACCCACTCCAGTCCTTTCCCAGAAGCCTGGCGGACCCAGTGCATAGCAGAACTACTGAAGGTGAATCCAGAGGCTGCACAGGAGAGTCTCAGGGACCCGCCAGGCTGGACCAAGCCTCCCCCAGACTCCACCAGCTGCACCTCACACTGGACACCTGCAAACACAGAGACACAAAGATCAGAAACTGCCACACATATTCACTGTTCCTCTCACTCATGTCCCCTCACACTCAACATCTCTATTTCTCCATGAATCACCTTTTAAAATAGCAACAAGGAAAACCCAGCTCAGTACAAACTCCATGGTGAGTCTCCTGTGTTCAGTGTCGATCACCAAGTGGAGAGAGCTGGAAATCCCAAGGCTGGGTCTCCTCTCCCAGAGCTGCAGGGTCAGGGCTGGGCTGCTTTTCATCACCCAAAAGGGGGGTCTTATTTGCATGTCTCCTACTATATAGCAAGCTCAGGGGTGGAACGCCTCAGGATAAGGCTGTGCACATAGTAGATGAGGGTGTCCTGGGGGAGATTGGTAGTGATCCTATCATTCAGGAAAATATAATTTCATATTATGTGATTGTGCCTTGATATTCATTTAGCAGTCACCATCTAATTTCATTTTTATGTATTTGCACACTGTATTTCCCCTTATATATTTCTGAAGTCCCTTGGCTTGTCTGTTTGAGTGATCTTTCCTCTTTCCTCGACACTGTGAAGGGTATGATGTCATCGTTCACAGGTGCCGTCCTGGATGTACAGGAAACGCTATTTCCACGGAAACGCTGTCATTTGGCAGTGTTGCCTTTGACAGATTTATTACCTCATTTTTCTGCTTGACGGTTTGTGTCTCTTAACATCCCACCTAACTTTTACACTGTGCTCATTTCTGGCATGGGGACACTGTTTTGTAACATAAATTGATCAACAATCTGATGGAATTAAATTGGGGCTTCTTTTCAGGGGCAGTTTTTGAGGTTTCTCCTGACCCCAAAATGTTACTGATTTTTTTTTAAGAAATGGAATCTAGCTATGTTTCCAGGTTGGGCTTAAAATCCTGGGCTCAAGTGATCCTCTCACCTCAAACTGCCAAGTAATGGAACTCCAGGCAGTGCCACAGTGCCCAGCTGGTTATTCTTCAATTATAGATTTTCTTATTCTCTCTGTTAAAATGAGTGGACTATTGTTTCCTATATCGCTTTCATGGAGCTATCAGCTTTCTATTAATTACTTACCATGAAAGCTGCTAACATTTTGGATGAAGTTTAGGGTTGAAATTATTCTCATCTGACTGCTAATCAAGTCACGCCCTTTAGAGAGAGCTTCGTATCACTGTTTTTATGCCCTGCCTCTATCACTGTAAAAATATACCAGACTCTATCTTGGTGCAGAAGAAAGGCTTCAGGTATCTCAGAGGGACATTCCTGCTTTAAGTACAGGAAACTGCGTGGGAGTGGTGGACTCCTATGATCTCATTGTGCCTCTCCCAGGAAGCTCCCCAGACCCTCTCGCCTGCAAGTAAGCTGGCATGAGAATAATCGGGGTCCACCTGTTTTTGGCCTATAACTCATGGCATGGAAACTATGTCTCATGAGTGAGGCTGGGAGGAGAAAGGCATCCATCAAATCACAGACTGGAATTTAGTCTCCACCATAAAGACCTGACACCATGACCTCAGCTGAGATCTGGGGGAGAGGGAAGCACCACCTTCTTGTCAGTTCAGCCCAAGGTCAAGATTCTGTGATCCTGAGATGTAAAGAAGAGGGTAATGCTCTTCTCTCAAGTATTCTGGGTCCTCACTGCACTTGCTGAGACTATTTGAGCTGCTGTGAGAGAATACCACGGACTGGGTGGCCCAGAAATAACAGAAATGTATTTGTCCCAATTTTCAAGGCTGGGAAGTTCAAGATCAAAATGCCTTAGAGATTTGTATCTGGTGAAGTCCCAAGTCTTTATTTGTAGATGGCCACCTTCCTACCATGACCACACCTGGTGGAAGGAAAGAGGGAGCTCTCTGGGGTATTTTATCAGGACATTAATTCCACTCATGAGACGGAGCCTCAACACCTTTCAAAGGAGACTAAAGGCCCCACCTCCTGCCACCATCACCTTGGAGTTGAGATTCAAACATAGGCCTTATGGGAGTCATAACCTATTCAGTCAATAGTAGCACATTATGTCAATCAATGGATTTCATTTACTGTGCGTTCTTAGAATAATTTTCCTTGATATTACAGGTTGAGTTTATATAATTTTTATCAGATGAGGTTGCTTCTTTGGAAAGCTTGAAGTTTCTGACACCATCACCCTGGTAATGAGATAACTCTATTCATATTCATGATTGAAGCTTCCTCATTCGGGCCATAAGCATTTGGAATGTTCTTCTCTTAAATTATTTGCCACGATGGAATAAACTTGTCCCCCTCATCAGTGTTATCATTTGTTCAGAAATACGTTTTTTATATTTTAATATTGCAAATTCACCTTTCTTTTCTCTTTATCATGGTGTCTTTCTGCATATTTTTAAATTTGTAAGTGAATATGTTTAAAATTTAGGGTAATTTTAGATTTTAAGGAAAGCCCCCCGTAGTAGGGTGTGTTCTTGTGTACAACTTGCCCCGGTTCCCTCACACTGAGCCGCACTCTATCAATGCTGGGTCTCTCTCCTGCCGTCTGTGGGACCCGCTCTCTGAACAGTGTTCTGCTCTCCACTGTCTATTCTGTGGTCTCCACACTTCCTGGCCTGTCTGGAATCTCAGCTCCTTTTCCTCAACTTCAGATCTACCTGGTTCCACTTCAGCACTGTGGCCCGGAAACTCTCTAAAGAAAATATCGAAGTGTGCATTAATCACACGGCTCCTTTTGTATATTTTCCCCCTCCCAGCAATCACTGTCCTTGTTACTTGATGTCACACATCTTAAAATCATGTTTAAGAAATTTCACTGTGTTTTACAGTTATTTCTGGTGGAAAGTTACATCTGGTCTCTGTTGTTAAACCTTGTTTGAAAGTTATCTTGCACATACATATTAGAATCAATTTTATGATGTTCAACAAGATTTATCTTGGAAAAAAAATATATATATGTATATTCAAACCTAAATTCCAGGAGACATCTCTGTAGACATGTGTTATAATGGTTATATATTTATTTGGTAGAATTAATGTTATACTTAATTTTAAAAATATTCAAAATATCTATATCTATCACATAAGTAATGCACAAGTTCTATGATGCCCTAACGCAAAACTTTATTTGTCTTTCTATGGGTTCTTCCCAAGGAAGCAGAGGGAGACATCTGAGGCCACTGACCCCAGCGGTACCTTCAGAGACCCTGCCCAGAACGTGACCCAGCAGGGAAGTGAGAGATTTCTGTCTCTTGCTTGGCATACTGTCTCCTTCACAGGGAAATCTGAGCTCTTCCTCTATCCCTGGGTTGGGCAGCTTCACCTTTCAGGACACGGAGGGACGGGCAGAGGGTATGTCAGGCCACAGACATCAAAGGCCACAGTGTGGATGAGGATTGAGGTGCTAACCTGCCCTAGTGAGAACAGAGACCTCCATGGTCAGAGCCACAGTAAACGATCTTAACCATGTGGGGATCTGTGTGCCTGTCTGAGAGAAGCGTCCACATGGGGACAAAGTGTGCCTGTCTGAGAGTGAAGGCGCATTCATGAAGGTATCTACGTAGACTGAGGTTGTGTTTGGGAAAATATTTCTCACTCACAAGATAATGAGAAACTTGAGTGATCTGTTTTTGGAAAAGAAAAATAGGTCATGTAGAAACTCCATGCAGAAGAGAATCTGGACAATGTTTATGAAAACACACTTTACTATGAAGGACATTCCTATCTAAGAAGGAAAGCACTGTCTCTTTATAGCCTAAATATTACCCAAATTTGTCCTAGACCACATACAAAAATCATACTGATATGCTTTATAGATTAACTGGATACCAAAGATACTAGTGCCACTTATTTTTATGATACTTCACTAATACCTTATTAATTGACCAGTGTTCATCTAGAGACCCCTTCCCATGAAATTTTTTGTTGTTGTTGTTTTTGTTTTTGTTTTTGAGACAAAGTCCCGCTCAGTCATCCAGGCTGGAGTGCAGTGGTGCAGCCTCGGCTCACTGCAACCTCCACGTCCTGAGCTCAAGCCATTCTCCTGCCTCAGCCTCCCGAGTAGCTGGGATTACAGGTGCCTGTCACCGTGCCTGGTTAATTTTTGTATTTTTAGTAGAGACGGGGTTTCACCATGTTGGCCAAGCTGGTCTTGAACTCCTGACCTCAGGTGATCTGCTCACCTCAGCCTCCCAAAGTGCTGGGAGTACAGGTGTGAGCCACCGCGTCTGGCCAAAATGTAATTATTAATTCAATAAACATTTATACCAGGAGACAAATTGTCTTCCTGATGACTAGATATGCATGCTGATTTTGATATAATGATCATGATATTGACAAGGTGGCATTCTCAGAAAAAATGACCCAGGTTCAAGGAGTTAACTGCAGAGTCATATTTATGTCTCTTTTGCTTTGGGACAAGAAAGACATGAGTTAAAAACAACATAGTGCGTGGTCTCCTGAGGGCTCCATGCTGTGAAGGAAAAGAAGACAACCTTAGATGGTGGTCAGAGGCTCCCTGGCTGGTTCCTCTCTGCAGCTGCTTCTCACTGGGTCTCTGCCTTGGGTGAGTTCTGAGCATCTCCTGCTGGTCCTTTGAGGTCTGTGCATCCCAGATAAAGGAAGCTTGGGGATCTGCTTCTGAGATGCCAAGTTGTTTGTCTGGTTCCTGGAAAAGAACTCAGCCAGGACTGGGAGCTGCACCTTGGATCTCAACCATGTGACCTCGCCTGTGTAGTGAGCTTCCTCAAAGCCCAAAGACAGGATCAGCTGAGTGGCTCTCCCTTCAGACGTTATTGGAGGCAATTTTCTGCAAATCTAGTTGTAGTTTGACTATACAATTCAGCAATTATGTTTTTAGTAATGTACTTAAATGACTATGTCCACACAATGAACTATATATGGCTGTTCCTTTATATTTCCCAAATACTGGGGACATTAAAAAAAATCCTGATTAGTTCAGCAAGTTGTGGGGTTCGAATCAGGAAACTATGGGTTAACATTTTCTATAACCAAACTTATAAATAAAAAAGATAAGAAAATGGGCCGGGCGCGGTGGCTCAAGCCTGTAATCCCAGCACTTTGGGAGGCCGAGACGGGCGGATCACGAGGTCGGGAGATCGAGACCATCCTGGCTAACACGGTGAAACCCCGTCTCTACTAAAAAAATACAAAAAACTAGCCGGGCGAGGTGGCGGGCGCCTGTAGTCCCAGCTACTCGGGAGGCTGAGGCAGGAGAATGGCGTGAACCCGGGAGGCGGA